TCCGTACCTATTCTGTAGTACGGGCGATATGTCAAAATCTTCCCGGATCAACAACTGGCGAGATTGAAGCCCGCTCTTTTATTATTTGTCAACATGATGATGTTGTTGGTCCGTGACGACGTGTTGGTAAGTAGACTTAAGGGCCTTGATCCTAAATGACAGAAATAGTCAGATGAGTTTAGGGCCATTTGGACCATCTAGGATAAACTCAGGATATTCTTTGCTTAACTATTTTGCGCACCCTCATCAAAGGTCATTGAAGCTCTTTCGTTTCTTCCTGCAAGGTTCCTAGCGTAGTTAAGTCGGTTAGGGTGTACATACGTTGAGCTCATTTCCACCGTCATGTCCGTACCCCTGGTTGGTTGTCATGTGGTTCATCTGTAACGAGAACAACAGGAGGCTGTGGTGATGAAAACCGTTTGACAGCTGACTAAAACTCATCAATCTCTTCATGCACCTGTGCGATGGCATACTGTATATTAACTATAGCGCCCCCTTGATCTCCTTGCCTCTGCTGATCTGTCTGTTTCGTCGCGTGTATCAGCTTCATTGGTGAGCGTAAGCTAGGAGGCTTCGGGTACCTGAAAGTAGCCCGCCGCAGAGGTACAGCCTCCGCTAAATTAGCGTTGACCGTTACCTGTGCTGCGCCCATGAGAGGAGTATCTTCATTTACCTTTCTCTCCACCTCATTGAGCTGAGATCACTCTGTGCCCCACCATCGACCTTTCAATGGAATATCCATCTCACCTCCAGAGTCCCAAAGTTATCGATATTGGCTGGATTGGTTCCTGTCTAGACATGGATGATGACTTCTAGGCAGATCTATTGTTGAGGTGCTAGCTGATAAGTATTGCAATTGTTGCTGGATTCAGAGCCTGAGGATTCGGCCCAGTCATTCGCTTTCTCAACGTAACTTTCTTTAGTTAATCTTCATTTCTTCTAGAATTTTGGCTTCACTTCTATTTCTCCTCATGACACCTACCTCGGCCAATACCAAATACCACTCCTTATCAGACTTTTGTTCCCTTGTATATTTTTGGGGCACTTGCACATTGTTCTACCATACTTGAGCATCGTCCACTTCTATTTGTGCTTCCACGTCTCTTGCCAACCTCGGTATCAATCCAAAGAAAGCCTTTCGACCCTTGTCATCCTCGTGCGTGGTACTTCCATAAGTGGGATCGCCGCCGAAGACAATCCCCAAGGAGCAAGAAAACTTTTGGCCTTAGATCAAAGGTGTCACAAATAACTTGAGCAGGGTTTCACCAAAGTCTATACTAGACTTGTCTAATTCTTTTTGTCACTCTTGGGTTCTTGGAAAGCGGTCCTAGGCTTTCTTGCTTCGCCTTGACGGTCGCCAGGGGCAGCTTCAACAAATTCAGTTCAGCTTGTTGCTTTTAGGTCTAGAGATCGAGGAGGCACACGCAATATTTACCTAGTACCTTACTTACCTCCCATACGGTGATTACCTTAAGTATAGGTCTAGGTGGTTTGGCAACTCCTGTCACGGTGTCACCTCTTCCTTCCTGCCTTTGCCCCCCTCAGCAAACCCCGAGCCATATTTCCAATATCTTGGGTGACAGGGCCTTGATCAACTCAACATCTTATCATCCAGACAGCTTCGAATACCCAGTACTTTTTCTTGGGACAGTCACCGTCTTTTCGACCCTCGCAGTTCGCGACCACCTACGATCTATACGAACGGATACCATATGCCCCTTGTTGCAGTCTCCGGCCTGTCTCCAGTCTCCGCCGTCAATCACTGTCGGGGGTTCCATCTCCCCATACAGTCCATCTCACTCTGGGTTGATAGGTAGACAGACATACACGGTCTACCTTCACCTGCACTGCATCAGCATCTGCATCTGCAGCGATATTGTTGTAATGCCCAGCAAACCGACCAAAGCAACCATGTCCAGCTCCAACTCTCCCACATCTCAAACCTCCAACAGCTACGTCGAGCAGACCGTCTCGGTATTGAGCTCGGTCGCCAGCTATATGCGTCTGCCCGCGCTGGCTTCAACGGTACGTCCACTATACTGCAGCTCGACTGACAAAATAGTCTTGCCTGCAGCCATCCATACCTACCTAGGGACTATTCTAATGTCAATGCGCATACAATAGGGTCTCGCCGCCGTCCTCACATCATTACTTTACTTTAAACAAAAGTCCGTATCCCAACACCATCACCATCACCGCCTCGGTCTCCAACTCCCCTTGCTAGCTGCTACCGACCTCCTCTTTCTTTGCCTGACCCGCATCATCATCAAGCCGAGCCCCGCTAACCCTGCATGTATTAGGGCTCTCATTTACCCGAGCAACATTCCCGCAAATTCTCGTTCAGACGTCCCCAAGCCTTCAGACTTTGGCATCTCAAATTTCGAAGAACTTTACATCCCGACCGACGATGGCGAGAAGCTCTCAGCCTTCTACATCCGTGGCCCTCGCGGCCACAAGAACTCAAACATCACCATCTTGATGTTCCATGGCAATGCTGGCAACATCGGCCATCGGTTACCTATCGCTCGAATGATTATAAACTACATTGGTTGCAACGTTTTTATGCTCGAGTATAGAGGCTACGGTTCATCAACAGGCCAGCCCGACGAGTCGGGTCTCAATGTTGACGCGCAGACTGGGCTCAACTATCTGCGGCAGCGGGCCGAGACACGCGATCACAAGCTCATGGTTTACGGCCAGAGTCTGGGCGGTGCCGTCGCTATCAAGCTTGTCTCCAAGAACCAGGAAGCGGGTGATATCGCTGGTCTGATCTTGGAGAACACCTTCCTCTCCATCCGAAAGCTGATCCCTTCCGTTGTGCCCCCTGCCAAATACCTTACCCTGCTATGCCACCAAGTCTGGCCCAGTGAGTCGGTTCTCCCCAACATCACAAAGGTGCCCACGCTTTTCATCAGTGGCTTGCAGGATGAGATTGTTCCGTAAGTTCCTCTGCACCCTCTCTTCCCCCGCTACCCCTGGTCCTGTGATGATTAAATTTGCATCACCCACAAAAGTTGAAGTACCCTCGTGGTCTTGATATGAAAGCAAATACTCCCTGATGATCGACATTTATTCTTCTACTGCAGCATAGCGCAACACAGAACACGAAGCTAATGTATGCCAGGCCAAAACACATGAAACAGCTGTATGACCTCTCCGCCGCACCCACCAAGCGGTGGAAGCCTCTTCCGGGTGGTGATCATAACTCAAGCGTCCTGGAAGAAGGTTACTTTGAAGCCATGTCAGATTTCATCGCTGAGGTAACGGGTGATACACCACAAGAGAAGACACGTTTGTAGAGACTGGGTATATCTCGTTTAATATTCCATTATGCATGCATAGCCTTGGTGAAGGAAGGAAAACGCACGGACAGCATCACACTCACGATTGACGACACCTCCTTTTTGTATTACCACACCTCTTCGTACACTTTCTTTGCTAGTCCACATTTATGTACACGCTCAGCACTCGCAAATAGTGGACTCGCAAACCTCGAACTAGAAAAGAAACTTGGCATTGATGAGACATTGATAAACTACTTTTGAGTTTGTTTGCTTGCGCTTGTGGTGGCCTTGGTGGTGGGGCATCTCGAGCCTCGTGATCCCTCCCAACCCGATGTTCGCGTGATGCGAAAAAATGAACAGTTGATGTTACATCAATGTCTTATTTGCAATCCTTTGGGTGTCGAGCAAGAAAATATCAGACCTTCGTACAGGTTATCATGATAAACTCAACAAAGGGTATCCTAAAGTTATACCAAACTTAGGCTAAAGTTATCCTAAAGTCATACCAAGTTAACTTAGGTCGTTTTGTTATTTAGGATCCAGTTTCTAAGTTTTCTTTCCTCCCTAGGGTGCAAGAAAATTTATGGCATTCGATGAGGGCGATCAAGTGGAGGGTGTTGAGTAGGATAATGCTGAGACCACAGTCCTCAGACGAAAGGTGCCGAGGAGAAATATATTGATGCGAAGATGGCTGATGCTGGGCTACTCCACGAGCCAAGCTGAATAGGTAAGATGTCGTCGATACTCTTGTCAGTTTGTATGGGTGTTCCAAACTGCTCTCCTGCTAATGTTTGCTCTGCTTTAACCTTCTCTACAGCCAGTATCATCGTATTGATAGCTATTTTATAGACATGAGAGAAAGGATAGTTTCTTTGACTACAATCACGACAGATGCCAGCCTGAATTGGCGTTCTATGCAGGCGCCTGGTTATCTCGACTCGTTTTGGTGACTCATCCTCCGGTCTCTCGTGTAAGCTGGAGCAAGTGTGGACAATGACAACTTTGTCACATCCCCACAGACGTGCTATAGCCATCTAATGCAGCATCTTCAAGTCCATTGATGGACTGCCTCGCCACCGATATCTTCTGCCGGTCAATGCTATCTCCCTTCTCAGTAGGAACCCACGCCTCCTGTTATCAGTGTTTGGCTTCTCAACTTATCAAGCATCGTGTAGACGATGATCATAACTTCGACAGTCTGGTAAAATGTTCTGCGTCCGTCTGCGGTCCATTCATCGCGTCTCTCAAATATCCCATTCGTCGTATATTCGAGTTGGCTAGCAGTTGACGAATCATTCTATGAAATGCCATTGATTCCTGTTCCGTTAGCTTGTCCTCGATGACGCCAACAACTGCAGATTTACTTGTGGAGGAGTCAACGAAGACATAGGATAATGCTCCTAAACGATAAAATGGCTTATGTAGACCAAGTCATAACATGTAGGTAGATTTAGATAGAATATCTTAGGACCATCCCAGTGGACTCTTTAAGTAGCTCATTCTTGTCACCTAATTCTGGAGTCCTGCGGCTTCTGACAACTTAAGGGCTGTCTTGCTAGAAAATGTTCTTGCTACTTGATGTCTCTGACACCAAATTTGTTCTCAGTCGTGGACTAGCAAGGCCATAGAATTCTTGTACTCCGTGATCAACTTCGGTAAGTGGTTAGACTCGGACGCCCTTCCTATGTGCCCTTGCACATACACTCACTGATGCCTCTAGCATTCGACGTCCCCATCAAGAGCAGCCCAGACCTTTCCCACCTCCGGTTGTTGCGGCCTCTTCTTCTTGAGTCCTAGTAGTAGTTTGCGCCCGGGCTTTGCCTCTTCGGGTGCAGGAGTAGAAGACAAGGACATTGGCCTAGAAGCCGCGCGTCCAGCTACGGCACTCCATCCTCCAGTACCGGCTCGGAGGGGTACCTCTCGCCGAGAAATTGCACCGGTAGCATCTGAGTGGCAGAGCAAGACGCTTTCAGCGAGCTTTTCACGGCGGATAGTCTGCTCGATCCGAGGTTTGAGGACTTCTAGGCTCTTTTCCATGGGTGCAGGTGTGAGAAATGCGGAATATGAGACTGAAGCTTTGATGAGAACTTCCTCATTCAGAAAATCAACCTTGAAGCTGAAGCCTTGAAGGGATGTGAGATCCGGTTCAAGAGTAGTGTTTACTTCCTCGATGGTCAGACCGAAGCGAGGCTCCGTAAGTACCAGAGCATTGAAAGGCTCAGTCTCGAGAATTGGGGGACTTGGAGGTCGAATGGCAGCCGCAGCCGCAGCTTCGGCAACTTGAGATGCTCGGATCTTGACACACTGCGCAAGTGTCTTCGTCGGGGCTGAAACGAACTTATCTGATTTCCACACAAGAACAGACCGGTGAATGTCGTAGTCCTCACTCTTACTCTCGAAGCCGAAGTCCTCGGCGAGCAAGTGAAGAAATTGGCGTGACTGGTTCTTCATGGGCTCATATCGTAGACGAACTTCGTCTTTGTTAGCAGCAAATACTCGGAACTGGCTCTCCTGAGCATCTCCCCATGATTGCATCTGTTTATAAAGCTTCAGAGTATTATCCGAGAAGGGAATATGGTCATTGGTGTGAGAAGCAGGGTCGATATTAAGAGCTGCGGCCAGGCGACGGTTGCGGTCAAGTCGTTCGCACTCCTCATCACATCGAACCTCTGGTCGGCTCGGAGTAGGGTTGCTCGTACTTGCTAGGCACTTGAAACTCTGCTTGTGATTACCACATGCACAGCTGGTGGACATCTTTACCTGACAAGCTGTTGATTCCTTGCAGGCTAGTACGTGTGTTAGTGGCAAGCTTAAAACTGGGTTTTATCGACTTACGAGTTTGTCCATGGCAGACGCTCTGGCATGGGTGGTTACATAGCAGCTTGGGCTTTCCGCATATTTGCTCGCAACCGTTCTGAGCGTCTCCGCATTCTCCGGGGCGATGACATAGCTTTTTACAGGTATGGAGCCCGCAGGAAAGTTTCTGTCCGCATTGCTCTCCGCAATGAGCCTCTTGCAAATGACAAGGCTTGTTGTGAAACGTCGTCTTTCCACAGATGCATCGCTTCTGAACGAGGTATGTGCATGGCGGGCAGGATACATCATCAGGATGGCACTGATGGTCAACAGAAGGATGTCCACATGCAGTCTGCCGCTGGCACTGGTTAGTGCAAGATGGCTGTCTCGTTCCGCATGGTTGTGGAGGATGCAAGACTGTCTGGCCGCAATTGCACGAAACTTCTTCCCAGATAGCCTCGGGACAGCTTTGGCAAGCTCCGCGGTGACAGAGTTGCTCGCAAAAGTGACTACCACATTTAAGTGGTCGTCCGCAGACGGCGACACAGATATGCTCGGCCTCAACTGGTAGCGAATCAGGGCCCAGGCGTTGCTTCTTCTGCTGAGCAATACGCTGAGATGCCTTCTTTTCACCCGGGCAACAATGCTCTCCGCATCGGTGTCTTCCGCAGTTACGAGTAGCCTGGCATATCTTGAAGCATAGGGGATGTTGGATGTTTCCCTCATGGCAGATCGTCTCGCCCGTGACTCGGCCACAGCGGCAGTCAATCTCCATCGTTTGAGTGCAAGGGTCGCATTCCCCAGTGTGGCACAAGGATTGGCAGAGATGTCCGCATTCCAGCTTCTTCTCGCAAATCCTCTTACAGTGAGGAACTTTATCTTCACAAGACTGACGAGGCTGCTCCATGAGATCCTTGAGCGGTGTCCTGCCGCAAGGGCAATGGGTGACAGCGTCCGGAGAGAAAGGGCAATGAGCCGAGACCTCTTCTTGCGGGTGACAAGAAACCTGGCAACGATGTACACCACAGTCGAAGGCTCTTCCGCAAGCACTCTCGCAGCTAAAAGAGCCCTCAAACCAGGAACTGCTGCCCAGATCGAAGAGATCGAACGAGTCGCATATGTCTTCCTGTTTGGAACATTGCATCTCCTTTTGCACGCGTCCACAATAACACCTAGCTTCGACCAGCACGTCGCAGGTACCGCAGACACCTGGATGGCATGTTTGAGCACATTCATGCTGACCACAAGGTAGAAAATCGCCACAACGCTCTCGACAACTCCACCCGTTGTAGTAATCGGTATCCCTACAGTTCTTTCGCTGAGAGTGCTTTCCACAGTAACAGGGCTCCGGTGGGCTCAATACGGTGCACGGAGGGCATGGGCCAGGATGACATTGAAGAGTGCATGGGTGGGAGCATGTCGATCTATGCTTGGAACATGTTTGCCCACATGAATGAGGAGGCAAGATGCTGTTCCGACTAGGCTGCGTTTCTTTGCCGCACCAACACGAACTATTGCCTGGTCCTTCTATCAACGTTGAGTTACACCCAGGGCAACGCCATGATTGGTCGCCGCTCTCCTCGTTGACCTTCATGGACGTATCCCACCATTGGTGGGCACATTCAAGATGGACGACGGTCCAGCAGGTAGTGCACGACCAGACCTCAGTTTTTCGAGTCACCTCTTCGGTGCAGATACGGCACTCATAGTTCCAGTTGACGATGTCTTCCTGAATTCGTTGCCATAATTCTGAGGCAGTCGACTTGGGAACCTCTCGGCGGGGCCTACCCTGCTTGCGGTCCCTTGTACGGTTTCTTGAGCGTCCTTGGCCTATGGGCCGAGGTGCGCTTGGTGGTTGCTGTTGGGCACTATAGTTATCAGTATGATGTATTACCTTGGGGCTACCGATCCTACCTCCTCTGGGACACAGGCTGTCCAGGCACGAATGCCGGGGCGTCTGCACTCAAAGATGCATCCTGAGCAACCTCTGTTGGTTGCTCAGTTGTAGTCAAGCGTCCACCAAAAGTACGCTGCGGTCCCATGGAGAACACGCCTCTCCCTTGGTTTGCTTGCCCTCGAGAACCACCTCGATTACCTCGCCGGTTTCTTCTGCTTCTAGAAGACCCTGAGCTTTCGGGGGCGGCTATGGTTTGTGCAGCAACAGCGGCATCGGCAGGCCCTGTCTGAGGGGCATCTCCGCGACCCTCGGGAACTTGTGCTGAATCATCCTGTCGCTGGCCACGATTCCGTCCTCCCCTTCCCCTACGGCGTCCTCCACCTGAACCTCCCCGAGAACGTGATGCTGAACCCTGGCCCTCCCTTTGAGACCGATTTGGGGCATTATTTCGTGCCTGATGAGATGTACGGCTAGTCTCTTGCTCGGCCATGATGGCGGAGATCACGGTCGTGAGCTGAGAAGTCGTGGCTGTTGCAAATATTGCGCTATGTAGTATAAAGCGTCTTCAAACTGCGAATAAGAAATAGGAAAACAATGAGCTTGCAGGCGAAGGGAGAACTTGGAAGGAGAAAGTGGGGAAAGATTTTCGACTGCTTCTTCACGAGAGCGAGAGTTAGAGGAGCAGGGAAGAAAGTATCGAGGAAAGGAATCTAGAAACCTTATGATATATTACGCTGTTTGCAATAAATTCTTAGGAGGCGTTGAAAACCGGTGGAGCCCTGTACGCTTCCGTGTGGCGAAGCCAATCTGACAAACATAGACACTTATTGGTTGGTTCGATAGTCCATCAGAATGAGTCACCAACAGGAACCACCTCTTTTGGAGGTTTAAAACTGTCCATTTTTTTATCTCAGCAGCCAGAAAATTGAGTCCACCCACGAACGTAGCCCTTAGTGGAAAGAAAGAGTCACTGATGCTGACATATCAGCCTAATTTCCGTTTCTGCCTGGAAACCCCTAGACGTCACTCCCCTAAGGTATTGTGGCTGAAAACCCGTAACCGCCACACATCAGCAGTTGTGAGAGTCAAGGTTTATCAGTGAACATTATACTAACATATTGGCTGCTTTGCAGCAATGGTTCAAACGAGTCTTTTATGTTCCGGTGAAAATCACTCATCATATCAGGTCATTTGAAACCATGATTACTTTAGCTACTGCCATTGAGCTTGCTTCAGGGTAACCATCAGTCGGGGAACAAGAAAACATCGGACCTTAATATAGCATATTAAAATAAACTCTCTGTTAAAGGTATCCTAAACTTATTCCAAGTTACCAAGTCTTTTTATCACTTAGGATAGAGATCCTGAGTTGTCTTTTATCCCCTAGACATCTATCCTAAGAGAGGCAAGAAAAGTTTAGGCGTCAATCCTGAGTAATAATCGAGTTAGGACCTTGGACTACAGATTCTGTTATAACTCAGGCCCCAGACCAAGCCAGCTGCTGAAAAAGTATGGAAATAACCCAAAGAAGGACATTATAAGTTCTTCATAAAGCAAGTGCTGTGAAAACAAGTCTTCGCAAGAGATTCAAGCTCTATTGTTAGAGACTAGGTTTTGAATATTGCTAGAAGATTACTAAACTGCCACAAAAGCCTATTAGATAAGGTACATATAGAAACCAGCATATCTTGGCACTATCGTGAACTTACAGGTGACATTGTCAAGGAGATATAGCCAGGATCAGAAGACTCCTATGTGAACTATCCAAAACTGTTAGATCTCAGAGTTACTGTAATGAGAATCAAGCTACCCAAACTGGTCACAGGGTGCGGATCCTATATTGAAGCGGAGGATTCCCTATTTACAACCCGATTCCTTCATCCACTAATAGCTTGTGATTTCCATGGTTGCGGCTCACCTCGGGTTTAACATCCCCGGCACATCTGTCAACACGACAGAAGCACAGGCGGTTACTTGTTAGCCAATTTGCGTATGCGCAGGGCAGAACGGAGCATGTTGAATGGATATCGGCATGAAGTGCGACGCAATATTGATCACGTTGACAAGAGATCTCGGGAGAGGCCGGGATGTCGGTACCGGCTCCACTTCCGGCCTAGACATAAACACCATCTCACCCACGACAATTGTAGTTTGACAACAGCTGAGGAATCAAAGATCCTTGAAAAAAGTAGTCACCTTGAAAGTTTGATGGTCGAACAATTAGCTTGAGCTGGCGTTCAGCCGAGGACATGGTTCAAAAGCAACCATAACATATAACAAAGTCTTCAAGATCAGGACCATATCCAGCTTCATATTGCCTGTGACAGCAATGATTCTCGTGAAGCCAATTGGTGATCGCTCAAACAGCGTCATAAGTAGACAGAGACAGCTTCCTTTGAGGCTCTGGGCCCCCAATATCCGTCTGGGGTACGGGTGCTCCATATTCTCCATATGGAGAGGAGCTCGGGACAGCCTCCAACGCCCAGGATAGCTTCTCACGAGCTTCACAGGTTAGGAGCTAGGCTCGGTAGTGTGGCGGCTGCAGTCTTTAATACACGCCCCTCCACCATGAAATACCTAATTGCTTGTTGCAGACGGACAACCTCCGAAGGTCCCCATGCTTCAGCAGTACCCTCACGAGGGGATAGGAAGAAAACCAAGGACAAGTATCCTGAGAAACAAAAATACTTGGACAGGTTTAGCATAACTTAAACATCTTTCTAGTTGGCTTATTATAGCACCTTGAATACATGTCTTACGTCTTTTGGCCCCATGAACATTCAGTCCCAGACCTTCGGTGAGTTGAAGGGAACGGCCCCGGTATCGATGACAATTCTGCACCCCGGGTAGAATTTAGATCTTACACCAACATCAGACATAAAAACAACGAGAAGATAATGTAGAGAGAACTGCGGTCTCCAAGGTTTGCTCGGGGTTAGGAGTTTAGATATTGTGGTAACACAACGGGAATGGTTGAGGTAAGATGTAGATAGACCATGCACGTGACCTCAACGTGGATTTCCCGTTCGGCGCGTTGAATTTGAGTGCGAGGGACAGCCGTCAACCTCAACGCAACGACAGGTCACTCCATCTCCGGATTCCACGAGACGTCGCCCGTACAAATCCTCCAAAATGGCTGCTCTGATCAAGGCTGCGAACGCCAAAATCCGGTCAAACCCGGTGACTGACTATGTCTGCTCAACCCGTACGTCTTTCGAATATCCTGTCATGTTTTTTGCATGAGCTCCGATTCGCCTCCGAAAGCGCAATTTTGGGATACTGTAACTCAACAAACAACACCGCGGCTACAATGCATACAAAAGCAGATTTTAGGCATAGAAAAGATGCAGGGGGGAATGTTGTTCTCTGAAATATGTCAATTGGGCCGTTGGAGGTTGTGTTGATGTGCAATGCGTGTTTTGGAGCACGGCAGCCTCGGGGCGATCAGCGTGTCGAGATTTGCGACTGACTCTTGATATTTGCAGACTTTTGGGGCCCTGTCTCTAACTTTGGTATCCCTCTCGCGGCCATTATGGACACGCAGAAGAGCCCTGAATTGTATGGTAGACCAATAATGCATTGTCACCAAGCGTAACTGACTTTGCCTCTACTAGGATCTCGGGACAGATGACCGGTGCTCTCATCATCTACGCCGGTACTTTCATGCGATACTCACTGGCTGTCACACCTAAGAACTACCTCCTATTTGCCTGCCACTTTGTCAACGCTGGTGCCCAACTCACCCAAGGATACCGATACCTCAACTACCATTACTGGGGCGGAAAGGAGAATATGCCCAAGGAGCAGCTGGCACAGGCTGTCGAGGCTGCCAAGGGGAAGGTTGAGAAGGCCACGGAGAAGGTTCAGAATGCCGTCAGCAAATAAAGAGGTTACCTGACCGACGGTCACTGGAAGGGATCGGTGTGTCGGGCTGCATGCCGTCCATAATAGGAGTGTCCCCGGGTTGTACCTCGGGATTCGGAGAGTGGCAGCACACAGCTACCGCACAACAACGTCGTAACTTGACAAGAATTTGTTCCCTCGAACATCTAGAATCGCACCCCGAGTTGGGGTCTTTGCAGCACTCGTGCCTGAAGAGTTGCTACGAGAAGACCTTGTTGTGGGGGCCCTGAGGTCAATGAATATGGTTAGAGCAAACAAATCAAGCCTTCAGATGCCACATTGAATTATTGCGAGCAAGTGATGGGGAGGAGTGCTCCCCGGAAAACGGAGATTCAATCAATTCCCCGGGAGGGCTTCCGATGCTCTTCTCCTAATGGAAAATGATATCAGTGGTATGATATTTCGCATTCTACCAGTAGGATGTCAACTCTATGCTAGTCTTTCGTTCTTGCAGCAGTTTTGTGTACCGGGACTTATGTAACAAGACTTGCTAACGTTTTCGTTGTTACGGTCTCGACATTTGGAGACTTCGAGAAACAAGATATGTGTAGTCTCAATTCAGCAGCGATACAACTCAGGCACCCTTGTATCTGAGCGAAACAGGTCCATGAGAGCAAGGTTAGTACGTAGCTCCCTTGAAGTCAAGATACAAACATAGATCTGAACTAGGGGTGGACCCCTTGGTTCCCGAATCTTGCATAGAAGTTCCCGACTATTCTCGTGCCTGTGCCTGGCCCTCCCCCACCAGGTTCCCGAAGTGACGGAATAAGGTCAATGTGAAAGGGTAGGCCAGGGGTGAAGACTGACTAGCTGCCATTGATCAGCAAATGCAAGGTCAGTGTGCCTCCCTCAGCCTTTGTCAGGCGGATCCGGTGATGTTCTGGTCGGCTTCTGTCCATGAACGTGGGGATAAGCATTTCCTCTGTAAGTTTTGGGTCATCGGTGAACTACCTACAACGCCGGCAACACTTGCGGTTATTACCCAACCATTACCGCACCCGCGTGTTGCCTATGCTAACCGCCTGTCGGGTATGGAATGGCATCATCTCGAGCCTCCTGCGAGGATCCCACATGATCTGCATAGTCTGCAGCGCTTCTCGACTGTGTTTGAGTCGCGAGGACGGAGGTTGAGCTTAGAAGTCGGTCTCTTTCGGAATGGCATTGCTCAGCATTGAACGATAATCGGCAAACTATATATGTCTGTTTTTCGACACTACAACCACTTGAACGAAGAGTAACTGGTCACATAGAATTGTGATGTCTAGAAACCTCAGATGATTGCTATGTAATACCGAACTTACCTACTCCAGTGGAACATCCATAGGTCGATAATCCACTGTCATAGGCTCCAGATTTGACTCCAACTGCCTGTTCCAGCCCGGCATTTGTGAGGGGGAAACGCCAGTGCTTCAACCAATTCGGTCAACCATTTTTCTGGATACACGCCGTGCACCAATTAGTTGATCTCGAATAGAGAATGCCTTCCTATTCGGTTTTGCTCAGCCCTACCCCAATTGACTCTCGACTTAAAATTTCGACCTTTTGCCAACAAGTTATGCGGAGGGGTACACCGAAGTCCGAGGTCGGACCTAGCTCGCTTTCTGCACCTAAGGTACCTACCTTGTAGCGTAGTGAACAGCTGAGTATTCACACCTGGCAACTCATATCCAATCCGGGGATGATAGAAACTGTCCGTCTGACAAGAAAAGATTTTGTAAGTAGGTAAATTTCATCGCCAGTGGAGGCTCATGTCCTGTAGAGTGGCAGCATAGTGTCACAAAATCCGACATATTGAGCAAATAGTGGCCAAATGCGCACCAATGAAAGCGTCATTTTAGTCAACAAATGCAATGCGCCGGTCTTCATCCACCGAGAGATTGGTTAGGCAGGCTATGCCGCCATCATACTTGATAGTGCACGAGAAAAGAGGAGAGACCCTTGGATCGTTCGTTACATGTTGAGTACTTGGTTAACTTCCATGGTAGGAGTATTTAAAAGTTTCAGGAAATATTCTCGATGCTCAAGATAAAAAAAGACTGAAACTTGGGCCTGAAATGCATAAACCTTTTCTAGACAATGGATGCCGATTCCTTGTTGCTCATAAACCCCAAGCAGCTGGGATAGGGGGCGCTTTGGCTCGTCCGATCTCATCTAAAACTAAGTGGCCGCCGGTCTTTGACCTCCGTGGGGGTGGAATCCAGTGGGAATAAACGCATGATACAGACAGGAAATTGACTCGGAGAAGAAGTTGATCAAACATGGGCTGGGGCATTTTCTTCAAACGAAGTACGTACGAGCATATGTAACAGCACCAGGGCGTGATCGTCATTCGTGGTTGACAGAGGTTCACAGCCTGTAAGTCTGTGCAGCTCGATGTGACCTATCACGATCAGTGAACAGACAAACTGGTTGTCGAGTGTCCCCAATCACCTTTCCATTGGGTGACTGCGGGTTAAAATATAGTTTTTATAGCAAAATGATATGACTGTTGTGAAATCGGTATCATATACAGCCTAAAAAGAGGACAAGGTCAAGCGGCGAGCGGTGGGTAGTGTAAATGCTTCAAAACACCTTGGATGGCGATACGGTGATACCCCACATGCATCTTGTGGACTCGAGCCTGGTGGCCCTGGTAATGTATGATGCCCGGGGATTGCACAAGCTTTAGATTGAGATTCAAGCTTGGACAACAAAAGCAGTCAGGGTCCAATCAATGGTGGGGGTCAGGTAGATCTCTCTGGTTAAGGTGTGCGGTGTTACGGTGGACAGAGAGCGGCTGTGGTACCAATGACTTCAATCCCGAGATACTGCGGAAAATGTGATGCAGCAAGAGGGGAGGGAGGCTTCTGCGGCTCTGGCTGTTACAGCCACCAGGCCAGGGGTCCAGTGTGAATTAACCAGATGGTGCTGCACATCGTTCAGAACCGACAAACATCCTCGGCATTATGGAAGGCCCAGTATGATACCAACGTGGATCCTCTGACTGGACTTCCCTTGGTCCATGGCATCCATGGCAACCCATGGACAAGGCGAGCAGATTGCTCGCTCCTACGCCAACATCAGGCGGGTGGGACATATAAACCTCTAGAGGAAAGGTTGCGGTGCGGCAACCTCTAGAGGTTAGGATCAAAACCCCTAGAGGTAAGGTGCGCGCTGGTCGGTGTACGTGGACGAAACACAAGGAAGCGCAAAGCACCTTTAGGCCGGATTGTTGAGGACAAAGGCGTTTCGTTTGCCGAGAGGTTGAGTGAGTGAGATCTCGTCTGGCAAGGTGCGTGAGGGGAGAGATCGATGATCGGCGGGTGTTGAGATTATGTGAAAGCTCGAGAGATGAATATCGCGATATAGGCAGATAACTAGAGCTGATAGTAAAGCTCCGAGCTCGAGCCAAATAATACCCTCAAGTCATGGAGGGGAGACCAGTCACTATCAGAGAGCGTTGATTGGCCAATGGCTTTGGTTGAACAAAGATGTGTCGGCGGAATGAGTTGCGTCAACTCACACGCTTTTTTTATACAATTTTTTTTCTTACTCCTTTTTCTATTTCTCGCTGTTCGTTGCAAACAGGACCGAGAAAACAGGCCGCTGTCAAAACCCATCATATCGGTTCGTGGATTGCCAATCGTCGCGTTTCGAAGCACTGTCACTTGCCCAGCCGGATGCCTTTGGCCATCTGATAGGCGCTCCTCTGAGTTAAGTTAGTACTAGGTAGGTAATATGTATCTCCATGGCTACCTCAGGGAGAGACCGTAAATAGATGTTGTTTCGCTATCATACTGGTAACCGACGTAAGAATGAATACTTGTTGTGCTTGGCTGATCACACACCCCCATGCTCCCCCATGCTTGTGTGACCTGTTCTCATTTTGGCTGTTCCCGGGTGAGGCGCGAAGAAATCTATTGCTGAAGCCATGTTGTACCACCACGCTCATCTCATGCTTGTTGTACCCAGCGATTCGAGGCGCATCCCGCCATACTGGTGCCGTTGCCGCTCTTGCTTATATAGCCGCCTTCTGCCCTCATTGCTTCTTCCATTACTGTAACTGGTGGTAACCCCCATTGCATATTGCAGCTGGTGGTATCATCATGACCGGGCCGGTTATCAACAGCATCTCCCAAATCTCCATAGATCCGTGAATGCTAGATGAATGCACTACAACACAACATAACACAAAATGGGATTCCCATTCAGCGGGAAAGTGACCGCACTTCACTTGTAGGTACGCCATAGACTCATGGCCAATGGGTAATAAGAGAATTTAGGTTGGCGGTACCGCGGTAGAGGACTCTGCGCGGCCGAGCTTAAGTTCCACTCCTCAGCCGTTAGTTAGCAGGGAACCGCCTCGAGAGTCTTCTGTTCTTTGTATGTACCTAGAATGATACCGCGCTTCTATTTACGGTCATGGCCTCCTGGAGATACGTCTCCAAGGCCGAAACAGGTCCGTTAGAGTCATGGTTTGATCGTGTTTTAGTGGCATGTCCTGGCAGCTCTTTGGAAAGTTTTGATGGAGATCGAGTGGGAGAAGACTCCGCCTGCGCCGTAGGGTTTCTTAGGATGGTATGGTATGCACCTTGGGTAGGTAGGTCGGTCCCTTCAGACTTCGGGCTTTCTCCAAACGTCACACCCCATCGCCGTCCGCTTTCTCATTCACACGCCCTCCCGTCCTGGATAGCTCTTCCCCCCGGAGGCCGGGTGTGTCACCGACGACACACGCTTGGGGGTTTACACTGCTCTACAAAATCCCCTCGCCCGCCTGCACATCCCTTCCCTTCGATCTCTCTCTTCTAACCCTCATACCCTTCTATTACCGCTACCGAGTATACCCTCTGCCTCCAATTCTTTGTGCTCTAGGGTGATATCGCAGCCATTCGTGAGCTGGAAGAGCTGTCGTGGTATCTTCATACCGACAAGCGTGCTCATTACCCCACCACCAAAAGTCAAAGAGACCCCGCCATTAAGCTCTCGATAAAGCTCCCACTTTG